GTACATCACTCGTTTGTATATGTTTATCCTTGTGCATATCCGTTTGTACATACATATATTGGTAGCAGTAGTAGTAAATTTTTCTTATCTCAACCCACCGGTCTCTTTTCTTTTTCTTCTTTGATTCTCTCCCTCATCCCTGAGGGTGGGGGAGTGAGCGACTGCGTAGGGTTTGGTTGCCAGAGCGGCCTAACCCATGACACACTGCAGCCTGCGGGAAGGATGAGCTGATGCAAAGCAGTTGACAGGTCCGTCTGGAGCGCCCGGCTGAGGTTGCTCTGTACCTTCCCAGGGTTTTTCCAATCAACGTTTGACGGTGCCGCGATAAGCACCTGGTACGGAGGCCGCAGGTCAGATCCTGCGCTGGAGGCAGCATAGTGAGTACCGCCAACCTCGGTGCTGCAGCCCGACGCATGCTGCTGCCGCAGGGTCCTCCCACAGCACCCACCCATCATGCGTCACGTATTACTCAAATTGAGAGTGTTTTGGTGGAGCGTCTTTCCTTATGCATTTTTTAATTTTTTTTTTACAGAATTATTTTTAGACATCGACCCAAAAAAAACGTTAAAAATTTGGAACCTGTGTCTTGTGTCTCCCGTGCAGGCGCAGGCAGCAGGCTCGGCACAAAAACACTCCTCGCCCACCCACGGAGCCAGCCGCCCCATGCCCATGCCCGTCAGATCCACCTCCGCCGGCTCCACCCCAACACATGTCCCGCAGGACTCGCTGGCAGGTGTCGGGGGAGACGTTCAGGAGGCTTTCACGCACGGTAAGTATCACACGGTGCAGAACCACAGCTGGTGGCAATCCTGCCAGCGGCAGGTAACAGAGGGGAGATTCAGACTAGGTAAAGGAAGAAATGGTTTACGCCAAGGGTGGTGAGACACTGGCCCAGGTTGCCCAGAGAGGTGGTAGATGCCCCATCCCTGGAACTATCCAAGATCAGATCAGACGGGGCTCTGAGCGACCTGATGTGCTTGAAGATGTCCCTGCTCATGGCAGGGGGGTTGGGTGAGAGGACCTTTTATGGTTACCATCCTGTGATTCCGTGATTCTATGTACAACAGGAGCGTAACTCACCAATGTCAAGACAATAATTACAAATGCCTTTCCTGTGCTCTAGACCAAAGAGACTGGGGGCACATTTTTAATCTTTACAACTTAATGAAATTATTTCTGTGGGGAAGGGATCTTCCCTCCCAGAAAGTTACGCCCACAAGTAATGTAACAGTTAGACATTAAAAACTGGTCACATCATTGACAAATCTGGTGGTTGAACTGTGCTATGATTTGCAAGAGGAAAAAGCAGTTTAATGGCCAAAAGTAGGAAAAGAAGCAGCCCTGTTATCCACTGTGTGTAGCTGACAACTCCTCACATCTCCGCTGGCTATATGGCAAAAAGGAAGCTGAAATTTTGCATAACAGCAAAATTGCATAACAGCTCAGTGGAGGCTGTTCCTAACGGAGCGGTTGGCTGGCGTGCACATCTGCGGAATGGCTGTTCGCTCTGCTGGAGACGTGCAGCAGCCCTGGGGGGAGAAGAAGAAAAAAGTACTGAACTGGAGAAATTAAGAGAAGAGAAGAGAAGAGAAGAGAAGAGAAGAGAAGAGAAGAGAAGAGAAGAGAAGAGAAGAGAGGAGAGGAGAGGAGAGGAGAGGAGAGGAGAGGAGAAGAGAAGAGAAGAGAAGAGAAGAGAAGAGAAGAGAAGAGAAGAGAAGAGAAGAGAAGAGAAGAGAAGAGAAGAGAAGAGAAGAGAAGAGACATAACAAAGAAACAGAAAGACACACAAGACAATGAACTTTTTCTTGCTCCAACAGTCAGAGCTCCTTCTTTTGCACCTTTTCTACATGTTATCCTCTCTGCATTTGAAAAAAATACCACATCCTGGCCCCAACTCATTGCTGCCAACTGCTCCAGAAGCAGACATAGAAGTGCTGGATTATCAGGTGGTTTCAGCTGTATCCCTTTCTGTCCACTTTGTCTTCCAGTTTTTTGGTAAAACCGGTATGATTGGACCAAATGGGTGAACTGTCCATTTGTGAATAATACAGCTTATCGCGCTTTGTAGAAAACCAGGGCAGCAGTTGACACACATATTTTTATTCCTCGACTTCTGTAGGTCATGTGAATTTATGCTTAGCTGCTGTTGCTTTTCTTCTTAAAAAGAAAAAAAGTTTTACAGTCAAGCCTTTAAAAAAGTTGCACTTTTCCATGTCAAAGCCATTGTCGGCTCAAGAAGGGCTCCAGAATTTGAAGGCAACCAGATGGAAGTGGAAGCTTGCTCAGCTCAACGCAGACCACTGCCTCTTCCTCAGACACTGCAGAGACTCGGCCATCCAGCGATGCCGGAGGGGGCAAAGCAAAGATGTGGCTGTCACTCTGGTGTCAAGAAACTTGGCAAATATTTTTTTTTACCTTCAGGGACCATCTCACTGCAGAGCAAGGGGAGATTAGTTATTCTTCAGTCCTACCTACTACAGCTGTGCTCACGGTGAAGGAGACCATTCCCAGCAGG